AATAAAAAAAAAAAACCAATGAAACAACGTGTCCTCTGTTTTCTGAGCTGTCCTGCCAGTTACCCTCTCAGGCCTCTTCCTGTACTTTGTTCCTGTCCTGCTTAATTTTTACTACACTCCATGCAGGGTTTCTTCATTGTGGGGTCCTGTCCTAGAAGGGCACACTGAAAGGTCAGTTTGGAGAGTCCAGATGGGTTGGCCAGCTCCTCCTCACCCCCAGACCTCCCCAGTGGCCTCTAGGTCCCCAGCGTCCCAGTTAAGACCAGTCGGCCCATGTCACCTGAGGGCGCATTGGCCACAGTGTCTCATGGGCTTCTCCAGCTCTCATGTCCATCAGACGTCACATGTGTAACCTCTGCTTTCTCCCCCAGACACTGATAGCCTGTGGTCAGGAGGGTCTGGTGACTGCTGGTGGTTTGTCATGACACGTCTATTTTAGGGTTTATACCTTATCACCTAGTTTTGTTGTAAATCATGGCCACAGAGTCTTCTTATTATTGTGGTAAAATACACATCATGTTAGCCATTTTAAAGTACGCAATTTAGGTTTTAGTTTCGCAATATAGTTGTGTCTATGTGGGGTGCCTCTATCATCTTCTCAGAATACCCAGCCATCCAAAGCCCGAACTTTTCAAGCAAAACTGATTCCAATTGGTTTGCTTCATGATGATGGTGAAGAGAATGCCTTCACCAGCACTCAAGGACTGGAAGGCATCCCACAGTCTGGGCTCTGTCAAAGTTCTAGAGATGTGCTATTAAAGGACACATGGCTTATTTAAGGATAAACACACATCAACAGTCTGGTAGCCCAACATGGTAACACAACTGCTGTCAGGACACTGTGGCCGCACGGCTTTTCCGAGGAAGTCAGGGTGGACTGCAGGGAAAGATGTTCATGCCCTCACTCCCCACACAGCCTTGGGCCCCACCCTGAGAATGGGAGTGCCAACCCCAAGGCTTGGCTTGGACAACAGACACAGAAGCATGGGAACATGAAGAGAATTCACGGAAAAGCCTTTTCCTTCCTTCAGTTGCAAGGCGGCCATATTATCAGACTGTGGCACAGCTGAGGTTAGGAAGTCACCTATCTTGACTGCCCAGAGAGACACTCGCAACCAGATCACGCAGGGATGTGCAGAGCACCTTGGGGTACCCCCGCTTCCCACCCCAGTATGGACCAGACCCCTCGGCTGTGTTCCACCCGGGACAGACTCTGACTAAAGGAAAGTGAGTGCCTCACAGCTCCCGACATGGGGTGGCACTGGCTTCTGCACCCTGCAAGCCAGCCAAGAGCTTCTTTCTGACCTGCCCTGTGCTTGGTTGAGCCAGCAGCCTGCTCTGCCTCCAGGCTATGCTGCCCCTAAAGACCCACTGACTGGCAGGGGGGCAGCGATGAGGTAACCCAGGCTTCTGTAAGTCCACGCCTGCTGATCGCAATTTCTTTTTTTTTGAGGTGGAGTCTCATTCTGTCGCCCAGACTGGAGTGCAGTGGCCACTCCCGGCCACCGCAGCCTCGACCTGCTGGGCTCCGGTGAGCCTTTCGCCTCAGCCTTCCAAGTAGTCGGAATTACAGGCATGTGCTACCACGACCGGCTGATTTTTTGTAGAGATGAGGTCTCGCCAAGTTGCCCAGGCGGGTCTCGAACCCGCGGGCTCAGGCAATTCACTTACCTCAGCCTCCCAAAGGCGCGGGATTACAGGTTGAGCTACCGAGACCGGCGACTGTAATTTCTAAGATGGACCTGATTAAAGCGAACCTTTTTATTACTCAAGAAACATCACATCAGGTGCCATACCCCAATAGTCAGGTTTGATCTGGCTGAGTTCAAGAAAAAAATATCTCATGTCTCCTTATAGAAGTGAGAGGGTTATAAACACTGGATTCTCTTCTGCAAAAACAAACTTACCGTTGCGACCTGTTTGCAACACAGTCCACTCTCCTGTAAAACATCATCCTATACATGCAAAACACTTCTTGAACTTCTAGCATCTGGGTACTCTGGCTTCAGAAGCTCTTCTTTCTTCAGTCTCTAAAGTCTCCTAAGACTTTCAAACTCTCCAATGGAGATTGCCGTTTCACAATAAGAAAAAGACATCCTTTTCTTTAAACAGTTCACATTTATTATTGATAACAATAAAAAAATCTTTTAAAGACTATCAGTATTATATTACCAAGAGTGAGGTAATATGTTTACAAAACATTTACAGAATTTGATATGCAAATAATGAATTTAGGGAGGAAAGTGAATTAAGACACTAGTAATACAGGGAAACCAAAGAATCATTAGTACTGAGAAAAAGGGAAATGCCAGCAGCATTTTTAAAAAGGTATCAAGGTACCAAAAAGAGAGACAACGCAAACTGCATATGCAAACCATAAAGGCCCCAGGGCTCCCTTCCCAGGACAGGAGGTGTGCCACTCCCAAGGAGCCCTGGAGAGCTCCCATGCAATGAGAGCTCCCATGCAACCGTGTGCTTTGAACTCTTAAAGAGGCATCGCACTCTCTGGGGATAAAACAGTGCCACTCCTGAATCAACTTAAAAAGAACAGATCTTCAGCTGGGAGTAGGGGGTGGGGAATGGCTGCAATTCAAATAGTTCTATAAACATCTCTGGGCACATGAGGACTGTTGAGTGGAGCGTTTTCTTGGCAGCTGTCAGCAAAATCGCCATCTGAGACACAGAGAAAGAGAGAGAGAGAAAGCAGGGGCCATCTTCAGGTCCTTATAATTTGGAAACAGGAAGCACTGACTGGAAGTGGCACACAGGCACTAATTAACTCTCCAAGCTTTCTGGAAACAAGGCTTCAGGTGCCAATGGGAAGCTCACCCTTTAAAAGCAAATGCATGGCTGTGGTCCAGAAAGCCCGGCAATCACCGGAGAGGCCCGGGAACGTTTCCAGTGTGCAGGCAGTCACCAGGGCTGATCTGCCAGGTGAGAGAGCTACCCAGGCTCTCCCCCAGCCCTCCTGGCCCTCCAACAGGGTGCACGGTCTCCCCACTGCTTTCCAGTCACACAGCCTCCACTTAATGCCTTCAGAGTGGAGCTAAGACAGGGCAACCTAGGATTTACGTGCCCACCACGCACACAGATCACGGCCACGTGGGTTTTGGCACACATCTTTAAAAGCAAGGACTCTGCATGCACAAAAACACACGTCATGTATCTCTATCAGTGGCCACCCCTACGCAACTTCTGGGCAGATTTGCAAATAACCTGCTTCTCCCACAAAAAGCTGACTAAATGAGAGTCTGTACAAGATAGAGCAGGCTTCATAATTGGGAATCAAAAAGAAAATGCAAAAGGCAAACTAATTCCATATTCTGATCTGCTGCTATGAAGAACCCTTTATTACTAGAACTAAGTTTCTACTTGCCCACCCACCAGCACCCCACTCCACAGACACGCACACACGAACCACCATTTCCATGCACAAAGAAGCAGAGCTCCCATATGCCACCCTCAAGTGGCAACACGCAGTGTGCTGGCTAGCCATAACACACACAGTGGACAGTGTCAAAATGGCAAATGTGACTCAGTGCTGCCTCAATACCCTCCTAGTGACTGCCTCAATACCCTCCTAGTGACCTGGGTTCTCTGAGGACAGTAAGCTACTCAAGAGCCCAGAGGAGATCTTCTACACTGAGCTCAGAATTAACACTGAAGGTGAGGAGAGCAACACGCCAGGAGAAAAAAGGGAAAGAATCCCCCCCAAGTGCGCATACAGAAAAATCCTGCCCTGAAAATATCAAAAAGATTTGAAAAGGAGGAAAGAGAAGGTTTAATGATGGTGGCATTTCCTGGAGTCGCTGAGTCCCCGAGAGTCCCTCCTGAGCCCCCAGCCCCCACTTGAGAACAGTGGGTGGATCTGGCTGTGGGATTGGGTGCGCCGCAGGCTGCCTCTGGATCCTCAGAGGAAAAGGGACTGTGAGGGCTGTCACTAAATCCACAGACCAACTCGACTGACAGGAGACATGAGGCCCACGATGCAGTTTGGGGGAAACAAGTTGGCAGCTCCTGTTCCGGGTGGGTGCAGAACCCATCTCTGAAGGACGCACAGGAACTCATCCACCAAGGACAATGTAGAGTCGGTGGGGAAATTTTTTGCATCAGCATTTGAGACAAAGTCAGTCTCTTAATTGGTATATAAACTAATTTTCTTCCAAGAGAGCCCTTGTGCTCTGGTTTGATTTTGTGCACACTGTATACAAAATCTATGGCTATTGAATTAAAGTTAGGGTTAGAGTTAAAACTACCTGTCAAGATAGTTTTGGGAGTGAATGACTACATTTACCATCTGGAGAGCTATTTGCTATCTAGAGGTGAGAGGAGTCTGCACAATGTCGCCGACGGGAGGGTGGGCGGGCGGAGCGCGGCTGACTGTCCGAGGTGGCGCGGCCGTCCCCTCCACACCTAGGCACAGGCGTTGTGGCACTACCTGGAAATCATGGAGCTGGAGTGGGACTGGCTGGAGGAGGTGGTGGCGGCGCTCAGCTGGGAGAACCCACTGTGGCTGGACTCCAGGCTGGTCATCGAACCTCTGCAAACAGCACAGGCAGGGGTGAGGAGTGAGGGCCCACACCTGTGGGCTGTCCACCTGCCCACACTGCCCGCTGGATTTCCCAGCCCGTTCTGCTTTCTGCTCACTCCACTCTGTCCCCATCAGCACTTACAGATGGGGGTGGGTTGTGAGTGTTCCACCTGGGGGACTGACTTCCCATGACCTAGACACAGGTGACATCATGAATTAAACAAAGGCAAAGCCCACTCCGTCTCTGACACACTCCTACTACACGTGTTGGGGCCACAAGGCCCACAAATGGCCCCAAAGCTACTCCTTGAGTAGCCCTAGGACCCACCATCCCCGCTGATCTGCACACAGCAGGGAACTTGGGCCTCCCTCTGGGCCTGCCTAGCCCTGACCGCAACACCTGCGGTGACTAGGGAGCCATACCTGAAATCCTCGGAGCCAATCACCTCGGTGTAGTACATCACTTTACACTTGTGGGAAGAGACCTGCAGGGAGGCCAGTACATCATCCACACGGGGCAGGCTGGTGGCAGCACACGCCGGCATGCTGTGGAATTTCCACTGCAGGATGTAGAAGCCGGGCCACCTGGTCACATGGGAGCCCTAGAGCAAGGGAAGCAGTGGCGGCTGAGTAGGACTTCCCATCTCTGTCCTACAGGGGCCTGACAAATGTCAAGGGGGGCTGTCTCCAAGCCTCACTACTACTTAACAGTAATCATGTGACTACCTTAACAGAACTAAAGACCTGCTATTTTGCTTCACTATCAGAAATCCGTCCGACAAGGTCCTCCCATCTACTGAATGTGGTGAGGTCTCTGCCAGGTGCTGGGAAGGCCATGAGGACAAAGCCCGTGTCTGCTGCCCTAAGCAGGCACCTGGCAGATGGCAGTGTCCAGGAGGGGCATTCCCACAGGCCGGAGGGCTCAGTACAGGTTCTCTGAACCAGGCAGCACTTTCTGTGACATGCTTCCAAACATCCTACCAGCATGTTCTAGGCCCCCAGCATGATCCAAAGTAGAACATCAATCTGTGAAAATTACTTTCCCCATTAATTCTGAAACTAAAGACTGTGATAATACAGTTACAATGTTCATTATTTTAAAAACGAGATAAAATATTCTCTTTTATTCTGCACCTAAGACCACTGCAATACTAACAGGCTTATCCCTGAAAACTGTAAAGCCAGCAAAATTATGCATCTATTATGAAGGCCAAAAGTATACAAAGAACTACCATACAAGCACAGGCACTCAAAATAGCTGGCCAAAACGATAGACATGAACTGACAGAGCATTTTTCAACAAATCAGAATGTTTGGTAATGAGAGTTAATAGTTCTCTAAGTACTTGTTCCTCTCACTTCTATTTAGGGTGATTTTCCTTTGAGAAAGACAAATGCAACATGGTCAAATTACGTCTCCGGGAGTCTTCTGAAACCCAGCTGCATATGTGCATAGAATGCTCTTTTCTTCCTGGCACATGTTGCTTTTGAGAAAATGCATGCGCTTTAGATAAAGGTCATGGATTCTCTCCAAAACCGCTGCTCAGACTTGAGCTCTCTTTCTCCTGAGACTCATGGCTTCCTGGGTCATTCTGATCACCAAGCAGCACAGCTACACTGGACTCTCCACCTGCCCTTCCACAGACAGGCGGCGCCTCAAGAAGCTACACAGGCTTCTCGCAGGGAAGAAGTAAAAGACCCTTCTCAAGATAGAATCGCCCAGCTGTGGAGACTCACAGAGCCTGGTTTTACCTGCACGCTTTCTCCTTCCTTGCAAATCAGGGGGGACTCCACCATACTGTAGTCTCGGCCCAGCTGCCAGACCTTGTCTATGAGCTGCACATTGTTTCCACCTGGAGAAGTGATGCTGTGGGCCCCCAGGGAGTCCTTTTTGGGTGGCTGTGGAGACCTCTTGGAGTGATAAATGTTAAAAACAATGTCCCCTTTGCACACGTCAAAATCCCAAGTGATCACTGATGAGGCATCCACAATCTGAATGAGAATCTGCAAAAACAAACTCCATTAGCCAGCCAAGATCCTTGAGGCCCTGTGTAGATACTTTGAAGGTACCATCCCTTCCATGGGCTTTTGGGTCAGATGAGTGTGATGGGAGCAGCAGGGATGGATCCCTTGGATGGATCTCTTTACCCAGTTACTCCTCCTCCTGGCTTCCCACTCACTTTTTTTCTTTCAACCAATGGCGCCTGCTACCAAGCTCTGTGCTCTCTGATCTATACCCAAAGATTTTCCAGTACACCATCTTCAGACGGCACTCGAAAAGACTGGGACTTAGTGACACAAAATAGAGACACTGAGTGACTGTACATGGTTCAGTGGATTGCTTGGGCTGGAGAGCCCTGGAAGGCCCTGGGGAAGGCAATCTCTAAACAGCAGGTGAGGAGCTGGAGGGCGGCATTTGAAGCAAGGGGTGAGGCAGAGTGCAGAAACTGGCTGCCTCACAAGGTGTGCCTGAGGGGAGCAGCGGCAGTCACAGCTGGGTGGAAAGGGACAAGCCACTGCTTGGCAGGAAGGGTGGTAAACGCCCCAGGTGCTGAGTGCCAACCTAAATTCTGAAATTCCCCTGCTGTGAGCAGCTGTATGGAGTTTGGTATTCGCTGAAGACTCTGCCTAGGGAAGCAGAGGAGCCAGGCCACAGCCCCTCCTCCCGGAGCCTGCCCACCAGCTCCTGTAGGTGGGCTTCTTTTCTAATCCTACCACTGCCACTTTGGGATGTCCTTAAGCAGCAGATTCAATGAAACACAGCGGTCCTGTCTGAGAACAGCAGGAGGAGGCTCCCCAGGGCAGATTCCCCCCAGAGACCACAGCCCTATGCTAACAGACACTTCCTTCCTGTATTCACAGGGAATCTTACTTGCTTTCAATGCAGATGTATTACTGTCTGTACTTCATTTAACTCCCCAAACAGATGCTCTGTGACTCACATGAAACACACCGTGCCCCAAATTCTTATAACACAAGATCGGCAGTTATCTAATAAACAATAGGCAAGGACTCCACCCCTCAAGCCTGCCCTCCCAGAAAAATTAATACAAATAATTTTCAAGGCAATTATGAAATTTGAGACTGTCCCTACAAAATCCAGGAGCAAGGCACACCAAGTCTGTCTCTGCCTGTTCAAACCATGCAACAGTAATCTCTTATCCACTTGCCCCACGAGTGTCAGTGGGCTGCACAGAAGACATGGCAGCACTAACGGCCAGCAGACAGCTGTGACACAGCAGGAAGCAGGCAGAGGTCACTTCTGGTCAGTACTGCATCCTCACTGAATGCCTGCTCTGTGTAAGGGACCACTGTCCTCTCCAACAACTCTGAGCCACGAACTTTGCGCTAGAGCTAAGAGGGGTGATTCTGTGGTGGGTCCCTCGCGTTTCAGGTCGCTGGTGATGCTACAGGACAGACACATGGTGTACATGACAACATAGGAACACTCCTGCACCACTATGTGACACAAGAAGGAAAAAACACAGACACGTCGTTACTCCTTGCCCCATTAGACTTACAAAATCAGCAAATTCCTTAAAAAAAAATCTGTCTGGGGATGGGTGGGCACATCTCAACTTGCACAATGCATATTTGTATACATTGTACCCCTTAACTGTACCCCACAATTTTAAAATAAAAAATATGGGCCAGGCTCGGTGGCTCAGCCTGTAATTCCGCGACTTGGGAGGCCGAGGTGAGTGAATTGCCTGAGCCTGCGGGTTCAAGACCCGCCTGGGCAACCGGCGAAACCTCATCTCTACAATAAATCAAAAAATCAGCCGGGCATGGTATCGCATGTCTGTAATTCCAGCTACTTGGAAGGCTGAGGTGGAAGGATCGCCGGGAACGGCCACTGCACTCCAGTCTGGGCAACAGAGTGAGACTCCAACTCAAAAAGATAAAAAATATGTACTAAAAAAAAATCAATCAAGAAAAAAAAAGCAAATTAAACTTGTTCTATATAACTATTAAATAAACTACATTCAGGAGTTAAATCTTCCCACAAGGGAAGATTTGCTGTTCACAGTCTGTGTTAAGGGTTTTTAGTAAAATGGAGGCCAAGAGATCACATTTCCTTTCAAGGCATTCTGATCAAGCACGGCTATTTTCTATTCTGAGAGAGACCTGTTCTTCAGTGTTGACATTTACTGAAACTACACATCAAATGTCAACAAAAACCTAAAGACAAAGACCAGAAAAACAAGTTGATTGTTCTCAAGGAAAGGCTGTCAGGAAGCACTGCTGAAGAATAGTTCCCATGGAGGAAGCTCAGACGGAGGGAGCTGGAGGAGTACCTCGTGGGGGGCTCCTTTGAAAACACTTGCAGACTGGTAGATGGTCTCAGTCCAGAGCTTGAGGTCTTCATTCTCCAGTTCCTCCGCAGTCCTGTACAGAGACTTGGGGACCAGTCCACCCTCTGGCACTTCACACTGGAAATGTAAACACAGCAGTGAAAGCCATGCACATGCACACTAACCCTATGAAAGCTAGACATGCTGGCCAGGCCACGTTCCCATGTGCTCGATCCTGAAAGTCGCTTAGAAAATGGAAAACACTGGCAAGGTCGTAAAATACTCTGCACTACTGGGCAAAATATTTTTAAAAAACCACTTAAATACATGTGTTTTACTTTGAATAAATGAGAGCTGATTTAGCACAGAATTCATACTAATATGCATGAGGCACTGGATTCAATTACCAAAGCTGGTTTGTATGAGAATTAGAAGTATTTATATTGTCCTGTAAAGGAAAAATATTATTTTAAGTGTTTTATTCTCAACAGCCACAGACATTATTTTTGTAATATAAAATTATAGTCAAGATACATAATCAATGAATAAAACTTTGTGTCTAATCCAAGTCAAATTATTGGTCTGCAACACCAGTCAAAAATTAAAAGAACTTTTGAATTTGCTTGATATAGGTTAAGTTGATTATAATTTGTATGTTGAATTTCCCAGTTGACCTTGATACAATGACTTCACACTCAAGTTCATAAAATACAAGCACTCCCTATATTATTAGCCCTGAGAGGCAACTATGTAGGAAATAAACACTAAGGCCTTCAGCTTGCAGGACAGCATAAATGGGAAATGTCACAGCAATGACATCATGTTAGAAAAACACCAAACTCGCCTGGTGGTTACTAACTCTCTCGTCACAGGAAAGCAGAAGTGAATGGCCTCTTCAACAACCAGCCTGAACAGCAGCTCAGGAGAGTTGTGAAGGGGTCTTATATGGCCAAAGTTTGGACAGCTCAATTAGTCACAAAAACCTTCAACATTAAGACTACATCACAATGGTTAACATGTGACAAATGCAGGCACAATCTTCCGTGAGTCGTCTCCTTCTGCTCCAGCTCAATTCTTCTGGTCAAAATTGAAAGAAGCAAGAACATGGGATCATTTGCTTATATAGTGAAAGCGTTCACAGGTTTCTACAAACCCGATCCCATTAATTTCATGGGCACTTGATTATGGTCCTATAATTTACATGCTCTTTGCACTATACTGTGATTATGCCTGCAATTTCCTTCGAGCGGAACTGATGAACTGAGAATAGAATGTATATGTTTTCTAGATTTTTTTTTCTTTTTTTTTCTTATTGACACAGGGTCTTACTCTGCCACCCAGGTTGAAGGGCAGTGGTATAACCACAGTTCACCATAACCCTTAGCCCCTGGGCTCAAGGCATCCTCTCAGCCCAGCTTTCCAAGTAGTTGGGACTACAGGTATGCACCACTGTGCCTGGCTTTTTTTGGTAGAGATGGGGTCTCACTATATTGCCTAGGTTGGTCCTGAAGCCCCTGGTCCCAGGCCTCCCAAAGTGCTGAGACTGCAGGCATGAGACACTATGCCCAGCCTGTTTTCTATATTTCTCTAGCCATTCAAGAAGATTCTCCTGAAAGCTCAATTCATTAGCTAAATATGTGATCAAATCCATGAGTGCACATCTGAAAAGGATAACCTTAATATGAAGGATGACAAGAGAGCCCTTCTGATAAGAACCAAGATCCTCTGGGGTCTCAGCTGCTACCGTGTGCCACAGATCACGTCACTGGGACCTCCACAGGCTTTGGCTTCCTTAACCACCAGTGGAGCAGTTGTGTGCAGTGGGCCAAGGCTCTGAGTTTCTCATAGCATAGAGTATAAAAGTGGGGCCTTGGTCTGATCACTCAGCAAACTCAATATGTTAAAAACCCCCTGCTTAGCTAGGCTCGGTGGCTCAGCCTGTAATCCCGCGCCTTTGGGAGGCTGAGGTAAGTGGATTGCCTGAGCCTGCGGGTTCGAGACCCGCCTGGGCAACTTGGCAAGACCTCATCTCTACAATAAATAAAAAAATTAGCCGGGTGTGGTAGCACACACCTACAGTTCCAGTTACTTGGAAGGCTGAGGCGGAAGGATTGCTGGAGCCCAGCGGGTCGAGGCTGCGGTGGCCGGGAGCAGCCACTGCACTCCAGTCTGGGCGACAGAGTGAGACTCTAACTCAAAAAATTTTTAAAAACCCCAAAAAACCCCTACTTACAAAAAAGAGAACCATGTCCCTTAATTTTTCCACTTTAAAAATGTGGAGTGAGAACTGATTCAATTTTTTTTTTTTGAGTTAGAGTCTCACTCTGTTGCTCAGGCTGAAGTGCAGTAGCAAGTTCATGGCCACTGCAGCCTTGACCTGCTGGGCTCAGGCAATTCTTCCACCTAAGTTTTCCAAGTAGCTGGAACAATAGGTGTGCACCACCATGCCCAGCTAATTTTTTTGTTTATTGCAGAGAAGAGGTCTCGCCAAGTTGCCCAGGCTGGTCTCGAATCCCTGGGCTCAGGCAATCCTCTCACCTCCACCTCCCAAAGTGCTAAAATTACAGGGTGAGCCACTGTGCCTAGCTGATTCAGTTTTTTAATAATATCTTTTAAAAATGTACAGCTCCTCCAAAACAGTTAAAAGATCTGATCCATACAAGGCTATGTGAATAAAGCAAGCTGCAATTATATTTGATTCTAAAATAAATTCTCATTTGTATTTAACAATGAAGAAATGCGCATTCTCACAATTATCTAAATGGTTCTCTTTAGCTTAACCCTGGATCAGAGTAATGACAGCCAAAAAACAAAACAGAACAATCCAAACTAAAAGCTCTGAAAATCATTTGTGCAAACCAATGTCCACCTCTCCTACCCCTATAAGCAGCCAAAGGTGCAGCTCTCTGCCTAATACATACCATGCACTCCCCACTCAGGAAATCTGGAATAATCTCTTTATCGATGTAATCCAGCAGGCCTCCAGGACCCTGGTAGTCATTTCCTGCATAAATGAGGAATTTCCTTCTGGTGTTGTCATCAATGAATGGACTGACCTATAAGTAAGTAGAAAAGACCATGTAGACATGTTTGCTTTGCTGTCTGACTGTCAAAGACGAAAATTATAATGTGACATTAAGAGAGGTGGGGGGAGGATTCAAGTAGGATATGCTTTTTCTGTGAAGTCTATTTATTCGCATGGCATTAGGACACTAAGACAAATTTTGCTTTTCTTCCTCTCTTAAACAACTTGAGGAATTTTACATCTTAGCAGGTTTGCTTTTTTCCTAACTAGTTAAGACATAAGGTCATAAACGTGTATATAAATGCAGCATATCTGCTTTCCAAATGGCTAACAGTTACTTCACAACAGCACCTCAACCCACCAGTGTCCAGAGGACAGGAAACACCCTGGGCGCACGGAGGATGAGAAGGCGGCCCAGCGTCTCAGGGTAATTGGCCTCCACCACTTCAATGATCCGCAGCAGGGCTTTAACACCAGGTCTCCACAAGTGGCGCATGTTCAGCCCTTCCAGGTCTACCAGGCAGGTCCATGAACTGCAGATTGCAAAGAACTGTATTTTACTCAATAGACCGCATACTTAGCAAACTGCGTCCTACTTTTTTCTTTTGAACATCTATAGTCATTCCCAAATACATACCAATTTTTAAAAAATTACTGTGCTATGAACTGTATTTGTATCTACCTGTATAAAACACAAGAATCAGTGTGGTAAGGCCAGTCCCTGAAATATCAAAGCAATCAATGGCTAATTGATAACACACAAAAACCTCTTTCAGACATGCTCAGTGATCCAGTAAGAAAGGCCACAATGGGCCATCCCCAACATGCTAAGCCACTCCCCTGACAGGACACAGCTGGCATTTTAAGATGTGCTGTGTCTGAACTGCAGCAAGCTGTTCTTCAACGAATATATACTGGGTTGAGCACTGTCTGAGGAGTTGAGAATACAGCAGTGAGCAAAACCCCTCAAAATCGCTGCTTTCATGGGGCTTATGTTCTCAGGAGCCATTCATATCCCTCTCACCATCAGCCTCTGAATCCCCGCACACCTTTTGTTCTGCTTACCCTAACCAGGAGTATGGTGTAAGAACGTAAGATGATTTGGGTGAGGAGGGGCCAGGTAAAAACAAACAACCTGTAGCCCTGGGCTCCCGAGGACCACGAAGACTATGCAGACAGGTAGGTCATCCTCTCAGACTGAAGGGACAGAATGCCTAGGGGGCTAAAAACACTAAAACCCAGCAACTGACCCTCAAAACTGACCGTATTCATGCTCATCTCTTTTCTAACTTTTAGAGTACCTTGGAAACAATAAACTACCTAATTTTGGTGCTAAAAATCAATTAGAAACATTTAATTCATATTCTCAATAAGCTGAAAGGAAACAAAAATCCCATAACTACCTGATAGGCCGACCAAAGACTTTTGTGTTTTCTTCACATCGTCTTAGCCCCTCTTCATTTATGGAGAGAACCTACAGATAAAAGGGCCATGAAAATGTTCCATGATTAGTTTAACAGTGTAAACCTACTGCATCAAGCTATGATGGAGATGCCATTAATATAGCATTTTACAGGTGAGTGGGTAAACCAAGAAAGTCAGTTCTTAAGATTTTCTGACATTCATACACGCTGAACATGTCACCAACAAAGGAGAATTTACTCTCAAAACAGAAAAACAACGCCAGCATGTATGCCAAAGGTAACAGCTCTCTAAGGTAAACAGTTCCAGGAATCACAAATTGCAGGGGAGGACATGGTCTGGAGATCTGTCTTCAGAACAAGTGCATTTGGAATAGTAGAAGGTAAGTGTCTATAAAGTGTGGGGACATTCTGATACCACACATACTAGACTTGGAGCACGGCTCAAGAGAGCCTGCAGTTTAGAGGAACAAACTTCCACTATAGAAGTCCATTCATATCTTTATGTGTATATATATATGTGTGTGCACATATGGACACATGTTGGGTGGGGGGGTGACAATATACAATACAATGCCAAGAGTGAGCCAACACAGTGATGGCACCTAAAATCCAAGCACTTTAGAGGGCTAAGGCAGGAGGATCACTTGAGCCTAGGATTTCGAGGCCAGCCTAGGCAACATTTCTTAAAAAGAAATGCCAACAGTGCATATTTTACAATAACGAGATTATAGATGTGCCTTTTAAAGTTTCTGCTTGTTTTTAAATGGAAAGACCACATTCATCTCTGGGAGGGAGAAGCCCTGTTGCCAACACTGGCAGGAGCAACGGAGGGTAGGCCTGGAGTCAGGGTGACGATGGGTCAGCAGGCATTTATGATGGTCCAGAGAAAGCTGCCGAGAGCGGGCACTCAGGAAGGGCTAGCGTAAAGAACACTAGTAAGAGGTCTGCTGTGAGTAGAATCTCAGAGTGGAGTGGGGACAGGGACCAACTCAACATGGGAGTGAAGGCAAAAACGTGACTCAGAATGGCTCCCGTGCAGGCATCCCGCGTGCAGACACTGTTCTAGATGCTTCCACAGTGAAAAACATTTTAATAACTTTTGTGTCCTCTTTTGAAATTTTAAAAATATATGAACACATTCGCAGCTGGCAAATTTTTCACTTTCCTAATACTGAGTGCAGATGAAAATAAAAAAAAAAATCTGAAGTTGGTTGCTGCAAACGTCTGTCATTAAGCACAAGTGAAATGGTTTTTTCCTAAATTGTCACTTTTTTCACAATACAGCTGAAAGTTGCAGACATATCCAAGTATTTGCCTCAGAAACCACTCAGACTAGCATTGCATACTTTGTATTTTTATGCAGATTATAAACCCCAAAAGACAGTCTTCCACGATGAGGTAAATTCACATCAGCAGTCGTGAATAAGTTAATAGATTTTCCTTTCTTACTACAAAAGCAATTCATATGTTATAAAAGGTCAGCAGTAACAACCCAACCCTGCTAACCGAGAAAGAAAGTTTAAAGCCAAAACAGAGCCTGGTGTCCCCACAGCTGGGCACTCACATATCTGAGCAGGGCTTCCTCTCCGAGGGCTCTCACCAGGCCTTTGGTGTCCATCTGCCCCAGCCTGAGCACGTACAGCGGCCGCCCGTCTGCAGGAGAGGGGAAGGAAGGCTGTCATCAGCACCGCCCAGGCATGAGGCCGAGGGTAACTCTATAAACCTTCACAAGGAATGTGCTCTCCTATTTCTAGATGAGTCTAATGGTCTTTCCTGCTCTCAGAAACAGCCACTGATTTCTGAGTGTGGCAGTGGGGGGATGCCCAACGTTTTCCTCAAAAACTGAGAGAGAGAAAAAACAACGGAAGGTGCAGCTGAGCAGGGTCCTGGAATTGAGCTGTACCAGGAGGAGGGCTGGGCTGGAGCCCAGCCTGGACTTTGCTCACCTGCCCATACTGCCCAGGCCCGGGCTCAGTCTCCTCCTTAAGCAACTGGGGCTCAGCAAGAGCGCCAACCTTCAACGGCAAAGCGCCACTGGAATATCCAGATATCCTTTTCTATGAATGCAGAGTACTTTTAAATAATTTTTTCTTAGAAAAACAATGTTTTTTTCATTTCATAGATTATTAAAAGGTTAATGTCAACATTTAAAAAAGCCAGCCTCCCTCAATCCTCACTCTAAGGACCAAGATAAATTAGAATATTCTGGAAATACTTAAAACCACCAACAAACATATGCTGGCACTACTTCTTTATTGCCTGGAGGTCTAACGGATGGAACCTGAGAGGGCCCTAACTCATTTCCTAACACCTTGTCATTATGGGCCAGCTACACTAATGGAAAAAAGATCTCAGTGGCTAGAGAGTACCCCTAGAGCCACTATTGCCTAGCTTCCTACCTCTCAGGGCCAAAGGGGAGTAGCAGAAAGAATTTAGAAGCATTGTGTTCCTGAAAAGGAAGTTCTCTGTTATTAGTAGAGGATCAGTAGTGCCACCCTAAGAGGAGCCAGAGGGAAGGGGCGGGTGGCAAAATTTACCTTGTATTTATCCTAAGAGATTCTATCTAGACCTGCTCTACTTAAAGCAAAATGCTTTTTTGTGCCCCCAAATTTTGTGGAACGACAAATCTACAAAAAGTTTCTCCCAACATTTAATATGTCACATTTGTCAATGTCTTCTACCAAACTTGTTAATCTTTTAAGGGTAGTATCACAAAGTGAAATGATGTAAATATCACATACTTCCAGTAAAAATAATAGAGCTACAATAAATCTAGAGAAGCACAAAAGGTTAAGTCAGAAATACAGACAAACTGAAGCTAACTCAGTTTTGAAAGGGCTGCTCAGGAGCAGGAAGAAAGTCAGTTCTGAGGCTTCTCCATTGTTGGCAACTCCATTCTGTCCAGTTATCAAACTCTGGATCAGGAAACGGAAAGCCTATCTTTGACAATGCGGGTCTTCCTACAAGGTGTGGTATGTAAAGCATTCGAATGAACTGTGTTTTAAATCCCTCACTGAAAATAGTTCCGGCTGGCTCAGTGGCTCAGCCTGTAATCCCAGGCCTTTGGGAGGCTGAGATGAGTGGATCGCCTGAGCCTGCGGGTTCGAGACCTGCCTGGGCAACTTTGCGAGACCTCATCTCGACAATAAAATCAAAAATTAGCCAGGCGTGGGGGCGTGGTAGCGCGCGCCTGTTGTTCCAGCTACTTGTAAGGCTGTGGCGGAAGGATCACAGGAGCCCAGCAGGTTGAGGCTGCAGTGGCTGGGAGCGGCCACTGCACTCCAGTCTGGGCGACAGAGTGAGACTCCAACTCAAAAAAAAAAAAAAAAAAAGAAAATAGTTCCAGGCTGGGCTCAGTGGCTCAGCCTGTAATCTCAGCACTTTGGGAGGCCAAGGTGAGTGGACTGCCTGAGCCCGCGGGTTCGAGACCCGCCTGGGCAACTTGGTGAGACCTCATCTCTACAATAAGTCAAAAAGTTAGCCGGGCGTGCTAGCGCGCCTGTAATTCCGGCTACTTGGAAGGCTGAGGCGGAAGGATCGCCAGAGCCCAGTAGGTTGAGGCCGGGGGTGGCCACTGCACTCCAGTCTGGGCAACAGAGTGAGACTCCAACTCAAAAAAAAAAAAAAAAAAGAAAGAAAGAAAGAAAGAAACTGTTCCTTTTGGCTGTATCACTGTCCTTCATCTATGCTTTTCATACTCCCCAAAGCAGAACTGAAGTTCTTTACAGCCACTGTAGTGATTCAAGTCACTGAAAAGTTGCTTTATTAGCACTGTGCTACTGAAAATACTCAGCCACAGACTTTCCAGTTTTTTCCACAGGTCAAAACAAACTCCACTGAACTAAGGAGTCGAAGTTACTTGCCCGAGGTTGACAAGTCCATAAGGAAGCAGCAGTCACAGGGGCCCCTTGGCTGCCCAGCATGGGACTGGAGTGTGCCCATGAGGAAATGGATCATCGATTTGTTCAAGTTGGGAAGTTTCCAAATCCTCAAAGTGAGGAAGAACAGTCATTGGGACCCCACTCAACTCTATGGAATGAGGTCCTGAAGGATGTATTTAATACACACCAAGACAGATGATAATGACAGAAACACAGATGGTTTCAAGTTCACACATTACCTTTGTCGTGATGATGCCAGCCTCCCGCGTAGTAGTCCTGAAGGACCTGGGGAGGGTTCCAGGTATCAAGAATGTAGTCTACCTGGTGCTGCTTCCGCCATGTTAAAGACTGACACATGATCTCTCTGGCTTTGTCAATATTAAAATCCCGAGCACGTAAGAACCGAAGAATATGTTCATCTTTTGGAATCTATTAAGAGGAAAAGATGTTTCTAAGCAATGCTAGAAGTCGCTAAGGAAAACACCAAGTTGCTAAGGGAATACTTCTTATCAACAGTGAGTTGTGTTCTTATGCTATTCCACACTTTTCTGGTAACAGAAAAATGTTCCTTAGTATGTTAGAGAAAACTGGCTTTATTAGTCTGAATAATCTTTACAGTATTCCATTTTATTTCAGCAAAGTAGAGCAAAGGCATAATTTCCTAAATATCAAACGTTTCAATTCCAGGATCTATGAATTACTATGATCTGTGTACTTTCTCTCTCTCTGTGTATATATGTGTGTGTGTGCATGTGCGCACGTATGACACTTAAAAAAGTTACAATACAGATAGGTGCCGGTTTTGGTAGTATGGTGGTGTTGCTGATATACAGGAACCTTCTCTAGATTCCACTATTGTCGATGGATAGGTAGGCCATCCTGAGTAAAGAACAAGGCCACAATCTGAGTCTCATCTGAATCAGGTACTTTCTTCCAAGGTCACATGCTTACTACAGAAGGCTGGACCACTGGCCCACTAGGAAACCAAGAAGGGAATGGGAATGGGAGCATAGGCCTACTCATGATCTAACTCCTGGGAAAATACCTCAAGGCATGTGTCCCACTGATGTGGTATCATCTTCATTCGGAAAGAACCACAGTTACATGGAAGTGGTTAAGAATGTAGGTTCTAAGCCGGACACAGTGGCTCACACCTGTAATCCCAGCACTTTGGAAGGTGGAGACAAGAGGACTGCCTCAGTTCAGGGGTTTAAGACCAGCCTGGACAACTTGGAGAGACCTCGTCTCTACAATAAATCAAAAAATTAGCCAGGCAAGGTGGCGCACACCTGTGGTTCTAGCTACTTGGAAGACTGAGGCAGAAGGATCGTCTGAGCCTAGCAGGCAGAGGCTGCGGTGGCCATGAGCATGGCCACTACACTCCAGCCTGGGTGACAGTGAGACTCCGACTCAAAAAAAAAAAGAATGTAGGTTCTGGAACCCACTGGCCTGAATTCAAATCCTGACCTCTCCACTCTCTATAAGACCTCAGGCAAGATACTTAACTTCTCTGTGCTTGTTTTCTGACATGTAAAACAGAGGTGACAAAAATAGCACCACCTTGTAGAGCTGTTGGGAGGGTTTAATGAAGATCTTAAAAGAGCATCTAATACATGGTAAGTTTATAACAAATGGTAGTTATTAGTACTGTGGTTGTCCCCCTGATGACTGGTATTAAACAGTACTCAATTATTTGGTCTCCAGTAACCAGGATTGACAGAATCAGAGATTAGGCCAACTACATGCAATGCCTAGCTTATCTTTACTAGATAACGTCAGTAGCTACATATAGAAACCAGACTCTGCTCACTACATAAGGCTTATTATAAAATTCAAATTCATCAAGACACTAAAATTTCACCAAAAATCTCAAAATTAAAGCTCCAATATTTCTAATCGTGATAAATCTCTAAACTCCTTTTTAAACCTTCCAAAAATTTAAATGATTTTACATAGCCCCCACCCTGTACACTGCAAGCCGACACTCACTTTGCCCTTGTGGGTCTCCTGGAGCCACTGGCGAAGTCTAATAAGGCAGCTCTCTTGCAGGGGAGTCAAATCGCCCAGGTATCTCTTAATGTAGTCTGCATCTAGTTTGTCTGGAACGAAATTTAGATGACTTTACTTTCAACAAGCAACACTGGAACTGTAGGTACCTAAAGTCCTTCTGCTCAGTGGCGCTAACCTACGGTCCTGGAGTCTTAGAGGTGAGTGAAACCACAGAAGCAGCAGATTTAAGCCAGTCACCCTAGAGAACTTCAAGGACAGGCTTTAAGATCAAATTACTGCCCAAACCACAGATAAGCTTTCTGATTCAGTTACCATCAACTTACCTTTATTTGCCAAATCACAATAGTAGTCATGGCTGTAACAAATATTTCATGATTGTTTTAATACCAAGTTATATAAGGAGGATTTATTAAAGAATTGTGAAAAAACCAAACAAGCGAATCTAAGTCTATTTTGAATAGAGCTACTGTGTTCAAGAATATAGGAAATCTTTTCCATGATAAGGTAATATTAACTAGAAGAATGACACACCAAAGTAAGCACAACAAAGTAAAATTCACAAGGTGAAAAATAAAAAGCATCCCCAAACCATCTGCCCATGCCCTACCTTGCCGAAAGCTAATAGCACAGTTTAGCTGCAGAGAAGAAAGATAAATATCAATATCTTAAAATTTGAGTGGCAGAATTTTCTTGTGTTTTCTTATTTTTCTATGTTTTCTGAACTCTTTGCAATGGGCAATATTCTATGATTAAAAACAAAAAGATTGTGCCATATGAGTGTGTTTAACACACATGATTGGCAGCACAGGTCTAAAAGCAGTCTCTAGAGCTAGTCTAGTCTACCTGGGCTCAATCCAGCCAGGCACTTACTAGGTACACAAGACTAGGCAAGTTGCTCAAGTTCTCTGTGCCTGGGGTAACCTACATATAAAATGAGGATAACAAGGATTTCCACTTAAAAGGCACCATTATTCAGTAAATATCCATGAAGTGCTTACAACAGTGCCTGGCACACAGTAAGCATTAAAAGCGTTTGATGATGACATTGCATTGAGAGGACTGTTACCTGACATTCACTAAAGGTACTTTGAGCTAACATAAATGAGAAATGTTTTCTGAACTCAATAAAAGAATGACTTGATATAACTTTTTCTACCTATTAAACCAAAACAAATGTGAAGGGTCAGAAACGAGAGATGAATCTTTTCTTTATGCGATATCTAATGTCCCAAGGAAACAGAGAAGAAGACTCCACATCATTCCCCAGTCCTGCTTCAGAATGAAGCACCCTCCAGACATACCATCAGGGGTTCCCACCACGGGCTCAGTTGGCCCACCCGGGCTGCTGAGGGCCTCGCTGCTCAGTCCTTCCTTAAGAGTGGCATCTGGGATGATGATGGCTGTCGATGCTGCTTGTTTCTTGCACGATGACAATGCTGTCTCTGAAAAGGGCGTGACAGAAGGTGGAGTCCAGCGGGGCACGAAAGTTATGCCTTCTTCTTCTAACTGGCGCAGGTAGTATTCGATGATTTCCTTTCCCTTTAAAGCAAAACCCATTTCAAGGTGAGTATATATTCAACATTCAAATTACTCATCCCTCACAAATTCTTTTTCTTTCAGCAAGCAAATGTTGAATCTCACAAGTTGTTAAAATACTCATAAAACTGAATTGCTAAAAAACAAACAGGAAAAAAAAGCAAATGCTTTTGTGTTTTTTTTTCTTATATTGCTTACTTTTCTCCAAAGGTTTAGGAAATAATATCTAAAGAGATGGCATTTTTATAGGACTACTTTAAAATGCTGATTTACCATACTTGTACTTAATATATGCTTCATGTCTCAATTTAAATTGATTCCAACGCAGTACCCTGAAAATAAAATGAGCTTTCGAAAAGTACTGTATGATCCCAAATGGATACATTTCAAAACCACAATTCCGTACCTGATGGCAGAAAATGAGAAGGGTAGGTCTTCCATGGAAGACGACCCTAACAATCCAAGGCCTGAGACCCCGAGAGCCCACCCAGCGGTACTCTCACCCAGCAGGACTCTTGCCTCTTACCAGCAGGCCCTGAGGTGAGGCCTGAGGGGAGCTGCAGCTAGCTGCTGCTGCCTCACCCCAATGTTCACCTTTCCCAGCAATTACAAGCAGAGAGTGCCATGCTGGCAGCTATACACACCTCCTTCCTCCACTAGCAAGAAGCACAATCTGAATCCCTGATGTCCGAAGGTGAGGCACACAGGAGGGGATCAAAGCATCCTCTTTAGGAAGTGGCTGGAAACCCCTGACTAACCCATTCCCAGTCTACCAAAAGGAATGCAGTTTAGGTACTCTCAGAGAGACCCCTGCCTACCCTTCTCCACAAAATCCCACGATGTGCTCACCTTTTTAATGTTGCTGGTATATTGTTTCATTGCAATTTTTTCCACTGTACTTTCAAAACCAAAGAAAGATTTAATATCTAAACTTGCAGACTGTTCAAAACAGGTCCAATCTTCATTTTCAGGGTGAACCTGCAGACAAAGAGAAAGCATTCCTGCTAACTATACTGACGACTCAGAATACTATTTGTCTGCTCCTCAATTAACTGGTAATCAGAAGAAACATTCATGTAGTAATAATGTCACTGCCATGGAAACCACAGATAGAAAAACTTACACAGAGAAGTCTAAAATCATGAAAAGGTCCAAATAATTTTTCAAAATAATCTGTATTTTTGAGCCAGGGTCCCATTCTGTTGCCCAGGTTGTGGTGCAGTGGCACAGTCACGGCTCCCAGCAGCCTTAATCTCCTGGGTTTAGGCCATCCTTCCATCTCAGCCTTCCGACTAGCTGGGACTACAGGCGCATACCATCACGCCTAGTTAAATTTTGTACTTTTATTTTTTGTAGAGAAGAAGTTGTGCTATGTTGCCCAGGCTGGTGTCGAACTCCTGGGCTCAACAATCCTCCCTACCTCAGCATCCCATTTTGCTTTTTTCCCCAAAATATTCTAAAAATTACTATAAAAGGAGAGCTTTACTTTCATTCTTGTTTATTTATTCATTCAACATATTCATGAGTCTTCTCTATTACAAACAAAAAGATTCCTGTAAAGCTTAGTCTAACAGGAGAGACAGCCCATCAGCCATAAATATAAACTGGTAAGAAAATTACAGTTATTGGAAGTTACAAGGAAAAAAATACTGAAGCAGGCTTAACAGGACTAGGGTGGGAAGGGCAGGTTGCAGAACTTAATGGGGTGGTTAGGGATGTTTTCAACAAGAAGAAGAGACCTGGGCCAACACTGAAGGAAGTGAGGGGGTGAGCTGGGCAGACATTTGAGGAAGAGCAGTCCTGGCAGAGTGAGTGCTTGGAGTCAAAACTCTTAGGGGAAGCCTGCTTCATGAGCAGGGAGGCCTGTGCACAAAGGAAGGACAGCGAGATATGATAACAAGAACACGGGGTCTATGAGCCTTTGTAAGGACTCTGGCTTTTTATTTGAGTAAATTGTGAAAATACAGGGATGTGACTTCATCTGACATACTTTATTTTTATTATTATTATCATTTTTTTATTTGGAGTCTTACTGTGTTGCCCAGGCTGGAGTGCAGTGGCACACTCACGCCTACTGCAGCCTTGACCTGCTGGGCTCAGGTGATCCTTCTGTCTCAACCTTCCAAGTACCTGGAGCCTCAGGTGCACACCACCACACCTGGTTAATTTTTGACTTATTGAAGAGATGAGGTCTCACCAAGTTGTCCAGGCTGGTCTTAAACCACTGGACTCAGGCAATCCTCTTGCCTCCGCCTCCCAGAATACTGGGATTATAGGCATGAGCCACCACTGCCGGCCCATCTGACATACTTTAAATGGATCACTCTGGATTCAGTGTTAAGGATATACTGCAGGAGGGGAAGGGCAGGAGCACAGAGACTAACAATCTGGCAAAAGAAGTTCTTAAAACAGGGTATAAGCAGTCAAGATGGTAAGACAAATGCTCTTGACTCTAATCTTAAAGGTACACAACATCTCCATCTTCAGTATATACTTCTTAAGTACTAGGGACCAGAAAAGAAGTGGCATGTGAAAGTAATATTTAAAAACAAATCAAGGTATCACTTGGCTGCCTTAACTGCCACTACAACGTAATCCACTCTGCAGGAGTTCACACCTGCTACCCTTCCCACTGACTCATCAGAAACAAGTGACACCATCTGAAGAAGAGATGCCCTGTAATACAAACAGATGTATTGCTTAAAACGGTGATCAAACAATCCTTAGACACTGTATGTCAGCACGACCTTGCGTCTTCTGCGAGATGAAAGATTGCTCACCGTGTAGCAGCAATGCTCATTAATAATGACCCGGTTGGAAAATGTTTCATTATGGGCCTCTATGTGCAAAGTACGTTCCCGAGAATTCAGTGAGTTTTTCTGGACAAAATAAACATAATCAACTCCTGCGATCTTTAAAAAAGAAATAAAGAGAAAAATAGTTTATTAATAACATCCTCGTGCAACAGAAGTGGTAGCATAAATGTATTTTGTCTCTTGGGGGACCGCCTTCTAAGATTTTTAGTTACCTTCTTCAACAATCTGGGTGCATCTATATCCAGTTTGCAGCGCCTTTCAATGACATGAATAGCCCCATCTTCACTCCTGAATTCATTCACAGTGTCACTGTCCACGAACATCGGAATCAAAGGACATGTAGGAAATCTTCTTTCATAAGCCTATAAATTAGAAAAAACAAACAAAAAAAGAAGTGAACAAAAATGCAACTTGATAGTCTATCATTGATATTCTCCCCGGAACAAAAAAATCTCTCTCAACACATGTTAACAGGCAGTATCACAACTATTTGTCTTTACATGTAAAGCTATTATTAAAAAAGAAAAGATATTCTTTGATGCTCATGAATTGGAAAACTCAACCTAGTAAAGATGTCAATTATCCCCATGTTAGCATACAGGCTTAACATCATTCCTACCAAAATCCCAGCAAGTATTTTTTTGTAGCTAAAGACAAGATTATTTAAAAATTTTCTTTATAAAATTTGTAGGCAAAGGAACTAAGACAATTTTGAAAAGGGTAAATAAATTAAGAGGAATCACTCAACCAAGCACTGAGGCTTACTATAGAGCTACAGTAATCAAGACTGTGCAGTATTAGCAGAGGGACAGACACAGATCAAAGGGACAGAAAAGAAAACCTAGAAATAGACCTAAACAAATACACCCAACTGTTTTTTGTTTTTGCTTTTTTAATCTTTGCAACATTGCCAGGAAATGCACAACTGATTTTTCACAAAGGTACAAAAGCAATTCAATGGAAGGATGGAAGGGTAGCCTGTTCAACAAATGCTACTTGGAGCCACTGCACATCCAAAAATGAAACTCGGTCTAAACCTCCACATCTCATGTTAAAATTAACTCAAAACAGATCATGGACTTAAATGTAAAACATAAAGTCTGGGGCTTGGTGGCTTGGTCTGTAATCCCAACACTTTGGGAGGCCAAGGCAAGTGGATTGCTTGAGCCCGCAGGTTTGAGACCAGCCCAGGCAACTTGGCAAGACGTTGTCTCTACAACTAAAAAAAAAAAAACAATTAGCCAGGCATGGTAGTGAGCGCCTGTAGCTCCAGCTACTTGGAAGGCTGAGGCGGAAGGATCACTGGAGCAGGTCGACGCTGGGGTGGCCATGAGCGTGCCGCTGCACTCCAGCCTGGGCAACAGAGTGAGGCTCCAACTAAAAAAAAAAACCAAAAACAACAACAAAAAAACCCCCATAAAACTAAAACTTCTCAGGAGAAAAAATAGGAAAAAGAACTTGGAAATTTAGAGCTAGGCAAAGAGTTCTTAGATTTGACACCAAAATCATAATCCACACAAGGAAAAATAAATAAAATTAACTTCATCAAAATTAAAAAACATTTGCTCTGTTAAAAACTCTGTTAAGAAGATGAAAAAAATAAACTATAAACTGGGAGAAAATATTCACAAACCACAAATTTTACAAAGGACTAGTATCTAGAATACATAAAAGACTCTCAAAACTCAATAGCTAATTGCACAACAATATTAATATAGTTAACAGCTGTTAAATAAAATTTATAGGGAGCAACTGGTTTGCAGTGGCTCAAGTCTGTAATCCCAGCACTTTGGGAGGCTGAGGCAAGAGGATTGCTTGAGTCCAGGGGTTCGAGACCAGCCTGGGCAACTTGGCGAGACCTCGTCTCTACAATAAATCAAAAAACTAGCTAGGCATGGTAGCATATGCCTATAGTTCTAGGTACTTGGAAGGCTGAGGAGGAAGGATTGCCGGAGCTCAAGGTCGAGGCTGTGGTGGCCATGAGTATGCCACTGCACTCCGGCTTGGGTGTCAGAGTGAGACTCCAACTCCAAAAAACAAACAAACAAACTAAAAAATCTGGCCCTGCACATTCCATCATTATGACGTACCAAGAAACAAAGAATACAAGGGTTACAAACAATACAATTCTTTTAAGTTGCATAAAGGGTGTAAGAGTAAGCACTTACTAAGAAACAACCTAAGCTAGACTCTCTCTTATTTGAGTACCTAAATTATATCATTTTCAAAATACTCACAGCATCCCTTAAATTCTTGAAATAGAGTGGCCAGCATAAGGCATCACCCACATAGCACAGTCTTGAATTTAAACCACACCAAAAACTTTCCACTCTCTATAAAAATTATCCATCCAGCAGACTCATATTTGCAGAGACATTCACTTTTACCTTGGAAGGCCCAACCAGATGGCATTCAAGGCACCTAGGCTAAGGAGTGGCTAACACAGGGAAGGGTGCCTAAAGCTCTGTGGTGTACACGGAGGTTAGCAGCACCTCCTTGACTCCCTCTCATTCTTTTTAGAGTCCAAATGCATCTCTCGGTCACAGGAGAGAGATCAAGTCCTACTTCTCATTTTGTCCCCAGGAAAATAAGGACCTCAATGTCTAAAACAAAGTTGTTCGATAAACATTTCTGAAGTATGGAATACAAACTTACTAAATAAATGAACATGAATCCAGCCTTTTGTTTCTGTGCTCACTTTCCTTGGTCTGTCTTTCAGAGATACATATATTGCCAGCATGTAAAACTCTTACCTTTCTGGTAGATTAGAGAAAAGAAAAAGTGCAAAAAGTTGATATAACTATTATCTCTGGGATTGATTAGATACCAATACTCCAGATTTTCGGCATGAACTACAAGCTATGAAGTTTCTACAAAGTGTATAAGCAGCCCCTAAAAAATAGAAGCATTCCAATTTTATTTAAAACATCAATCTACGTCCTAGCTCTAACCATAAGAAGAGCCAAGAAGAAATGATACCTCAATTTGTGATGAGCATTCAAATCTTGAATTCCAAATATCGTGCTCTACTAAAAGGAATCAATGCTTGTTGGAGAAATGGCTGATTACAAGTCTGGAACAAGGAACGGTCGTGGTGTGTAAGAAATATTTCTTACCAGAGAATGAGGAACTGCCCAATGACAGATAGAGACATGCCCAAAGGACAGAGGAACCGATCTGTAGGGGTTCCACTCACCATGTCTGGGATAATTTGAGCACCAGAAAGAAAAAAAGTAGCAAAGCATTACAAATCATATAGTGACACTCAAGCAAAAGAGGAGGGGAGGAAATTTTACAGAAAAAATATGACAGCTTGCTGGGCACAGTGGCTTATACCGATAATCCCAGCACTTTGGATGGTAGAGGAAGGAGGATCACTTGAGCCCAGGAGTTCAGGATCAGCCTAGGCAACATTGAGAGCCCCTATCTATACAAAAAACTTTTAAAAATTAGCTGGACATGGTACTGTGTGCCTGTAGTCCCAGTTACGCAGGAGGCTGAGGGAGAAAGATCGCTTGAGACCAGGAGTTCAAGGCTGCAGTAAGCACTGCATTCCAGCCTGGGCAACAAAGCAAGACCCTGTCTCTAAAAAAAAAAAAAAAAAAAAGGAAAGAAAGAAAGAAATGCCATCTAATAGACACAGATGGAATGATAGAGTTAACAAATCACCATTTTGTAGTCACCAATGTACAATAACTGATTAAGGCAAGGATCATCAACGGATGCTATTAAAAGGTATTCAGAAGAGATATTCACTATTGCAAATTATCATCCTGAAGATAATAGATAAACTGTACAAAGGGACAAAATTGTGCTTATAATGGAAAGATCTATTAGGCACCACCTTCACCAAACATCAAACTAGAATCAATAATGCGACAGTCAGACAGTTTGAAAACCACAAGTATACCAGAAACCAGTACACCAGAAAGCCATGTAGTACTCTATAGTTATCGCAACAAGATGGTTAACCTGACGCTAATCATGAGGAAATCATCAGACAAATCCAATTTGTGGAACATTCTACACAACTGCTAAAAAAAAAAAAAAAAAAAGTCAGAGTCTTGAAAGATAAATTTAAAAAGCAGGGCACCTAAAGGGACTGGACTACCAAATGCAATGCTGCATTTGCTCTTGGACTGAAATAAAAATAACTATACAGAACATATGAGGAACTGAGGAAATGTGACCAATATTAATATTACTTTATCAGTGCTAAATTCCTTGTGTGTGAAAATGATTACTGCTAAATTCCTTGTGTGTGAAAATGATTAATATCCCCTCTTAGGAAATACATGTTTTAGGATTTGGAGTACAGCGTCATGATATAAGCAACTTACTTTCAAATGTTTCTATGAAATAAATGTGTGCATGTGAATGTGTGCGCGCAAGAAAGATAAAGCAAATGTTTTATTTCGAGGAAATATATATAGGTGTTCACAGTACTTTTCTATCAACTTTTTTTAAGTGGAAATTGCTCAAAATAAAAAAATTAATAAGAAAAAGGTAGTTTTAGAAGAAAAGGTCCACATGTAAAATAAAAACTGCTTGTATTACACAAAGACTGAACCTACACAGATTGGTATAAATCAATTAACTAATCTACAGTTTCTATTGTCTTTTGCACACAACTGATTAAATACAGCACTGCCATGTTTTCTACATGAAAATGTATACAAGTTTTATATTTGCCCAAAGTTCTAGCTAATGTGGTGGCAGGTCCGGTGGACATTACAAGGGTGAGTGCAGGAGATAGGATGCGGACGGGGACTTCTCACATCTAGCTGCAGCTCCCTGGGTCTCTGAGGAGCTCAAGCTTTTCAAGAGAAGTCAGAAATCTGGATTTTTACGGGAAGCTTCCCTACTTTCAAAACTCTGTTAGGGTCAGGGAGTCCACATCAGCAGATCTTCAATTTTTATCTCTGTGCAAAAAGAACCTTTTACAATTCTCACCTGGTTCAAATCACTGAACCAGAAGAGCAGCAGTTCAAATCACTGAACCAGAAGAGCAGCAGTAATCTCCAAGTATCTTCTTATTTTTTCACAAACCATCTGCAGTATTATCTAGCCATTTCCTGACCATGCCCAACATTTAACAAATACAAAAATCAAGGAAGGCTGAACAAAATGAAATCTTCCAGAAATAATTTCTTCAGAGGAAGAATGTTCTTTAATGTCTCCTTTTCAAAAGGAAAATTACTTTAGCAAAAGAAATAACTAGTACTGTAGTCACTTGCTCACCCATTTTAGCATAGCAATTGTTCCAATACTAAAAACAAACTGAGGGCCTTATCAACATGCCCCTGAGAAGAAAGCTGCCTCTGGTAACTTTGCTTCCTCCTACCTTCCTACGCCCACATTT